CATCTAGGGCGCGCGTGACAATTACGGAAAGAGTGCCCGTACAACTGACAGTTGTGGCACTGGCTCGGAGTGCCTTTTTTATGGGGAGTTTCGACGGTTATTCTGGAAAGCCTACAGACTGTTCGAACGTTGAATATTTGCTTACCCTCGAGGGTAGGCTGGAGGGCGACGAGAACCATATTTTATGGCTTCCTCCCGCGTCCTGTGTGCATGCGGTGCACGGAATTGACTAGCAGACCTTGTTCTAGAAGGTCGGTCTTGACGAGATCGGCATCTAATTCCTTCGGGATGCCACGTATGACCGCGCGGAGCTCACGCTCCTCCTGAAACGTATAAGTGTGGAAACTTATACGCTCGTTTCAGAGGTAGCTTGAGAGGGCCCTATGGTCGTCGGGTGTCATTACCTTATTTGAATCCCGTTCGCGAGATTACGGTCGCTGATAAAATTAATTTTTTTGGCCTTAAGGGCCAGAGAAACTCGGTCCCAAGCTGCCTTCTCTTGAAGGATTACCGGGGTAGGTGTCTGAATTTTATTTTGTACCACTGGACGCGGCGACGGTGTGGCACGGGCAGAGGGAGCGATGGGGGTCGGAGAACGGAGGCACGACGCGTTCGCGGCTTTAAAAATTTTAGCAGCCGCGGGAGCTCGGGACTCCGCGGCGCGCTTCTTACCCTTTTGGACGAGGGTGAATCCATCCGTCGATAAGGCGGGGACGAGGTCGACCTCCATGTCCGAGTCAGAGTCGGAGGACTAGAAGGCGGGAGCAGACGACCTACGGGCAGATGCAGGACGTCCGTCAGACGTAACGGAGCCCGCGGGCGCGCGCATTTTGATGATGTATTATTTATAAACATATTTTTCTAAAGGACATGGGCCACTCTCCATTCATTGCACGGCCCACTAAACGAAGTTCAAGGACAGTAATGAAATTAAGTTTAAATAACAGTATATATAGATATCCCTTTTATTATAAAGAAATTAAAATCAATATTGTTCATGGGGATACAGAAATATTTCAAAAATAAGATAAGATTTTTAGGTTACCTATATCATATGATTTGCTGTCAATACATTTATACTTTAACATCATCATCAGCTTAAATATTATTTATATTACTATACTTTATAACACAGACCTAATTCAATGAACGCCAAGACTTAATTTTAGGCATAACAAAATATAATAAGCACGTATATCGCAACGAAACACTTAATAATATCCACAATGCGCACGAGTGCGAAAACGACTGATCAAATGTAAAACGTTAATAAACATTAAACAAGCGTAGTTTTTTTTTTTGCTTAAGATCAATAATTATTGGTCAACGTAATGATTAATTCTACGGATTTAAAAGTATAAAAATAGAATTTTTCTTAGATATAATGTTTTATATTAGTTTTAAAATCCATTAATTAAATATGTTAATATATTCTGCTAGTTTTTTGCAATATAATGTCTTTTTTAAGAAGATTTAATGTGAATTGTTTAAAATATAAATATATTTTACCTATGGCAGCTCCTTCAATATTATCAATGTAGCTTAGTCATGCTAATTTCTTTTTATTTATGATTTTAATTATCCCACCATTAAAATACCCTTCAATTTTATAATAAGTATGTAAAAATTAAATGTTTTTTCTATAGATATTTCATTCGTGTCCTTGAGAGCACGAGTAACTGGGGCGAAAATGGCCCATGTCCTTTTGTATTAGATTAGAAGCTTTGAAAATCAATTTCATGGAAATTTTGCTTTTAAACGTGCCGAATTTACCATTTAAATTTTACATTCATTCGTTGGTTTCAAACAAGAAGCAGGTATGTTTTTTTTATGATTGAAAGATTACTGGTGGCCCGAAGGCCTTTCCAGTTTCACCAGGACAGGTGGGCGAGCAAAGGCTCAGCCAGGAGGGGTGGGATTTGCTAACAAGTGCCCGAGCGCCTCCGAAGGAGACCTAACAACTCAAGAGCAATTGCTTCGCGAATGAATTTACTACCGGATCGAAATCGCGACCCGCTGAGAAGATCCGGCGAGAAACTCAGCGGGCTGATGCATGGGTTAGGTTGCACGTCGACCTCTTTGTCGAGTTCGACAGTACGGTTACCGGGGTCCCTAAGCCTGCTCCTAGTAAGGCGTCTAATGCAAAGGTTATTGGATCTGATGGATCCGTAAGGACGTGTAAGCAGGTATACGATTACTGATAATACATATTGGTTAGCCTTCCTTTCGTTGAGAGTAAGGCGTCTTGTGAGCTCGTATGGGACAATTAATTTTTGGTATGGAAACTAGCGACATCTTATAGCGGATGCCCCTAAGCTTAAATGTAGGTAATATGTTACTTAAATGTTGTATTGTATAACTAAATATAGAAAAATCAAAAAAGAACTTACAAGTCTTTATTTGTTATAGATAAATTGATTAAATTTTATCAATTTGTAGTTTCTGAAAATTTACAAAATCTTTCATTAAAAATAAAATGTAGGATAGGTAATATGTTACTGCCATCTACAAGAGTAATGAGAAACTAATAGAAGCGAAGCCATCTAGTGGCCAACGCCCTTAAACATGGAAACTTCGACTTTATCCCTCAAGGTTAATGGCATCTTTCGCATTGTGATGTCGTATCATCCAAAAACGAAGAGCAGATTATTGGGCTCCTAAGTAATCCTGGATAGGATTACCCGCAGTCCCTGGTCTACACGTGCGTGTGACATTTGAAACAGCTCCAAAATATCGTGAACTTATTGAAATAAAAATTTCTCAGTATGTACTCGATAAGCAATAGTGTTTTTAACGTAGATACCCGCGACAATTCGAAACATTCTACCGTCCTAAGAAAAACTTATACAATTTTGCAGCAAGAATATACTTGGAGACGAATATAATAGGAAGCAAAGGTTCTATCGAGAGAACTAAATCAAAACTGGACAAGTTGTTCGCTCTCCGGACTGTTCTACGGAAGTTTTATGAATTCAATGATATCAGAAATGAGTTTAAAAACCTGTTCTCGTGGTATGTATTTATTTTGTATAAACTTTATTAACTACATTTAAATTTGCACAGCTGTTATAACTACAGAAGTGCATCTTTATGTTCGTCACTATTAAAGATTTATTTATGTATCGTATATGTTATTATCACATTATGAGCGAGTCGAGCACGCGGCCAACTTGATGATGTTACGTGTTTATCGAATTTCGTAAACATAAAAACGTGAATGCAACCTTGAGATATGACTCGATTTTGTTACGCCCTCAGAACTAGGACCACGACTGTCTCGCGACAGAAATAGGCAAGTTAGTCGTACCAAACAGTTCGGAGAATATGACACAAGAGTTCCTACCACCAGTAATTACGCAAATTATAATTTTGCGGGTTTGATTTTTATTGATGTTATTCCTTCACCGTGAAAGTCAATCGTGAACATTTGTTGAGTACGTATTTCATTAGAAAAATTGGTACCCGCCTGAGATTCGAACACCGGTGCATCGCTCAACACGAATGCACCGGACGTCTTATCCTTTAGGCCACGACGACGACATATTCTCAAAAGAACCGTTAGAATTTCAGTTTTACAACATTCAGTTTTAATATATTGAATGTTTTTAATACGGTTTTATTATCTTCAGGCGTATGTATGTTAGTATATAAGTTTGTAACGGAATCTTTGAACATGATTTTGACCTCCTTCAAAATGTCGGATTAACTCGAAATTTGGTATACTTATTAAGGACCGATGACAATTCAATATTAAAAAAAATTGAAAAAATTGAATTCAACTAAAAAATAGTTTAAAAAAACTAACAAAATACGCTTTTATAGAAAATTCTACTACAAATAGAAAATAAATTTTAATAAAATTGATATAAAAATAGTATAAGAAAAAATTATTTTATTGTAAAAAAACGTGGGGTGCATGGTATCAGTAGTTATAAATATTTTATGAACAGATATGAGTAGAAGGGTTATTTTGATAATGTCCTAAAAAGCACCCCATCT